CCCGGTCCGGTACGGGCGCGACACTGAGGGTTGCGATCCGTTGCCGGTCACGAAAAAAGACAAAAAGGAAAAAAAAAAAAGAGAGAGAAAATTCAATTCATGCTAACATGGATAAATCTTGAGGACATTATACCAAGTTAAATCAGTTACAAAAGGACAAATACTGTATGGTTCTGCTTATATGAGGTACTAGAGTAGTCAAATTCATGGAGACAGAGAGTAGAACGGTGGTTGCCAGGGGCTGGGGGAAAGGGGTAATAACCAAGTTTCTGTCTTGCAAGATGAAAAGAGTTCTCTGGATGGAAGGTGGTGATGATATCATAACAATGTGAATGTGCTTAATGTCATTAACTGTACACTTAAATATGGTTAAGATGGTAAATTTTATGTTAGGTATTTAACCACAATTTAAAATAAATAAATATATTACTACTACTACTACTAATTTGAACTATTACTACTAATTTGGGGATTTAAAACTAAAAGAAAGTAATATATCAGACAAAAGTAATATAGAAATGGGTGGGTAATTTGGAGTTTGAATGTTTTAAACTCTTTTTTAAGTTTGGGTTTTTAAAGTATGTATGATAAAAATTCAAGGATAACAGCAGAAACCAAACCAGTGAAGAAAGAAAAAGGGATAAGGTAAACCTGCACAACTAAAAATATAAAAATAAAAAAGAGAAAATAAAACACAAATTTTTATCATGATAAATGCAACTGAGTAAACTCACTGTCTAAAATAACTGTCAAACAGGATTAAAGGGTAAAAAGCCCAGCATTATGCTTTTTACAAGAGACAGACCTGAAACCTAGAGACATAAAGGAAAGGGGCTAGAAAATGAAATTCCTGACAAATACAATAACAAAACCTGAAAAGCAGTACTATCAGACGAAAGAGAACTTGGACTAAAAGGCATTCATAACGATAAAGAGTCATGTTTCTTAATGTGGTAGACTGGAATTTTGGTCCTAATTTTTCACCCACCTCTAATAGGATTAGACATTCACACTCTGCCAAGTAACTGCTTTGACCTCCAATTGTGTGTGTAACTGATGTTAAGCTTAGCCACATGACTTGTTTTGGCTAATGTAATATTTGTATACTTGGGGAGCAGAAGTCTTAAGGGTGTTTGCATGAACTGTCCTGTTTTCTGGTGACCACCATGAGAAGAACATGCCCTGGTAACCACTGTCCTTTTAGCCTGAGCCCCAAAAATAACACATGCAGAGCAGATGTGAACTCATCCTGCAGCCTAGCTACTCAGCTAAGCCCAGCCTAGAGCAGCCAGACACAGGGCATCTGCAAACCTGTAAACATGAGAATAAATGCTTGTTGTTGTTTGCCTCTGAGTTTATTAGGGGTGGAACTGAACCTTATATAGATTTTGTTAATCAGTTACAAGATGCCACCTCTAGACACGTGGACAACCTCCAAGCTGTAAATGTTTTAGTTTTACAATTGGCTTATGAAAATGCAAATAATGACTTTCAAAGGATACTTGCTCCTTTAAAGGGAAAGAATACTAACATTGCTGAAATGATACATGCATGCCAAAATGTTGGTACAGAAACTTTGAAAGCTGAGGTGCTCACAGCTACACCTCAATCCCACAAATGCTGTAAATGTGGACAAGAGGGCCATTTTCAAAAAGACTGCAAGAAAAAACAAGGAAATGAAACTAAACTATAACAAAAATGTCCCAAATGTAAAAAGGGATTTCACTGGGCCAATCAATGTAGATCTAAATTTGACTCCGAGGGCAATCCAATTTTGGGAAACGGACAAAGGGGCGCCAACTCCCATGCCCCCACAAAAAAGGGAAGTCGAACATGGAATATCCATGCCCTAGCATCAGAACCACCCAAAAACGAGATCATTTTTCAGGAAAATGAGTAACCGAACTAAATTCACTTATCACAGGCAATATCAGCCTTAATCTATCTATTATGGAGGATTTAGTATTAGATGAGGCTGGACAAATAAACATAGTTACCACCTACTAAAGATAGTTGGGGACCTTTGCCTGATGGTATGGCAGGGCTAGTCTTGGGAAACGCTAATTATTCCAGTCAAGGAATTCAAATATTGCCAAGTCTAATTGATTCAAGTTACAATGATCAAATTAAAATTATGGTCACCAGTTTAGGTTATCATATAATACCTAAAGGAAGTCACATTGCTCAATTAGTTTTGATACCGTGTTTTATTCCTGATCATCTAGACAGCAAAGCTAAGGATTATAACAATACTGAAGACTTTTGGGTTACTAAGATATCCAATGGATGCCCTCTTCTAACCTTTACTTTAAATCAAAAGTCTATCAAAGGATTGACTCTGGAGCAGGTATTACCATTATTGCTTCTAAGGATTGGGCTCCTTCTTGGAAAACTTGTTCCTCCCCTATGACTGTTTCTGCATTGAGGAACACAAACTCCATGTCAAAGGAAAAATCCTATAAAATGTATAGGACTAGAAGGATAAATTGCTACTATTTTGCCTTTTGTATTGGATCTCCC